TTAGATAGATGGGTGAGCAACGAGTAATATTTTATTGTTCAGTGAGCAAGTAGTAATATAGAGTAAAGATGGATGAGCATTTATTAAATTTACTCGAAGTTTAAAGTAGGTGATTTTTTTTTAGGGTGAATTAGGGCCGGACCGACCTTCGTGTGGTATAATTTCGAGCCCTCAACTTCCAAAAGTGAGAATTTAGGTCAATCCATTTTGATTGTGAACTTAGAATATCTATTTGGACGTTAAGCACCGTTTGCTCCCGTTATTCCACGTTATAATGAGAAGAATGATAATTTTTTAGAGAATTTATGGTTAAACAATAAATTGTAATATTATTTTATTGAAAAATGCGTGATTGATAATAAAAAAGAAAAAAAATAAATTATAATTTAATGAAAAATAAATGGGGGCCAATCGGGGTCTAAAATTGCTATGTGACTTTCAATTAAACTAGTTAAATGCTAGGTAATTATTCTTTCATTGCAATCAAAATCCTCAAAATTTTTCTCATTCTAGCACTTATGTTCATAATTTTTTTCCTTTCAATTCATACGTTTAACCTTCAAATAATTAGTATATCTTGTCTATAAGAACGGTTTTTAGCCAAATATTTTATTAATATAGGATAATATTCTGTCCAAATATTCTTTTTGTCAAACTTTTTATATTTAACTTGTTGCTTTTCAAGTTGTTATATTGTGTTTGTCATTTTTTTACCATTACGGAAATATTAACAATTTATAAAAAGAGGTTAGAGACTGATATTGCACTGGTAATGATCGATGTTTCATAGAAGTGAGAGATTGGCTCCCCGATATTTCAATTTGAACATAGATAGATAAATAAATAAATAAAAAGGAAAATTGCAGTGACAATTCCAAACATTTACATTTTTTTGTAGACTTTATCTCAACATTTACATTGTACCCCCATATATCCCAAACCTTTGATAAATTCACAGTTGGAGTCTGACTGGATGGAATCAATCTACTTTTTCGTTAGTTGACAAAAAAAAGTATTTTGAAAATATTTTAATTATTTTAAAAAGGGTAAAACTATAACTTTACATTTTTCTACTATAAACATTTAAAATATTAAATCAAAAGAAATAAAAGAACTGCAACCTGGGACCTCCTATCATTCTGCCCCTTTAAAAATAGTTATAATATGTTCAAAACAGTATTTCTTGGTCAACTAACAGAAAAGTCAATGAATTCCATCAATTTGGACTCCCGCTACGAATTTATCAAAGGTTTGGGACTTGTGGAAGTATAAAGTGGAGGTTGAGGTAAAGTTTGCAAAAAAATGCAAAAATTTGAGACCGCTATTGCAATTTTTCCTAAATAAAAAATCTTCATCTTCGTACCCATCATCCATAGCAAGAAAAAAGACGTTGGAAAGTAGAAGATTGAGGTGCCACCATAGGTAGGGACCATTTATGCCTAAAGGTAGAAGATTGAGGTGCTTAATACCAATAAAAAAGACTTTTGAACTTTGAGATCCAAGTAGGAATGAGATAGATTGGTAATACATCTTTTTCATTAAGCAACATTCGCAGCTAGGTTTCTAACCTTTTCAAAAAGTACAAATGGGTACTATACTTTTTATTTTTGTCATTGCCATCCCAATCCCAAATGTTCGGTGGTGGTTGGTCACGGGAAAGGGAGTGATGGAGTTGAAGATTATGCTCCTATTTGGTGGAAATTAAAATCAATTTTTTAGTAGATTTTGATAAAAATTAATAAAATGTATGGTTGGAAAGTCATATGTCTCATAAAATGTGTAGTAAAAAT